CCCCATTTCATGAATGACCACGGGGATAAGACTGAATGGAGTTGTTCTCCGGGCTGATGGATCATCGGTGCGAACCTTTGACATTTATCACATTTTCGAACAAACTCCTTAGTGTCTTTTTCCATGCTATCCCAGTAGTATCCTGCTCTATCGATCTTGTGAATCAGTGATTCGTCGCCGGAATGGTTCCCACAAGTGCCTTCATGGACCTCTCGTAAAACATAATCGGTGTCTACTGGTCCCAAACATACTGCCAACGGTCCATGAACGTCCTTTTGTATAATGTTCCATCTTCATCCAATGTGAATCGAGCAGCTTTGGTTCGTAGGGCCCTCGACTCTTTAGGGTCTGATGGGAGCTTTCAGTTCTTCAAGTATTCAATATATTTATTCCTCCAATCCTAGGTTAAGCTTGTAGAGTTTATCTTGGCATGACCTTCCTCGACCACAGATCTCGAGAGTTGAACGACAATCCCCTAGCTGATCTCATCTTCCTCGATCGATGACCCCAGACGAGTGCATCGGCCTCACTGTTTTGTTCTCGAGGTACATGCTGTAAAGTCCATTCCTTGAAACAGTGCAAAGTTACCTGCAACTTGTCCAAATACCTTTGCATTCTATCCTCTTGAACTTCGAAGGTTTTGTTTACCTGGTTCACCACCAGTAAAGAGTCACACTTGGCTTCACTGACTTCTGCTCCCAAGCTTTTAACTTGCCGAGACCTGCAATCATGGCCTCGTACTTGGCCTCATTGTTAGTCAACCTAGAAGTTTTGATAGATTGCCTAATAGTGCTACCCGTGGGCGGCTTCAAAATGATGCCTAGCCCGGACCCCTTCATATTCGGAGCGCCGTATGTGAAAAGGGTCCATACCCCAATGACGTGCCTGATTTTAACAAAAGTTCTTTTTCAACTTTAGGTATGAGGGTTGGTGTATCGGCCACGAAGTCCGCCAAAATTTGATACTTGATGGTCGTTCGGGGTTGATACTCGAAGTCGTACCCACTGAGTTTGACGACCCATTTGGCCAATCGGCCCAATAGTTTGGGCTTGTGCAAAATATTACGAAGCGGGTAAGTGGTTACCACACATATGGGGTGACATCGAAAGTATGGTTTTAACTTTCTAGAGGCGCTTATCAGTGCAAGTGCCAATTTCTCTAAGTGTGAATATCTAGTTTCTGCTTCTCCTAAGGTTCGACTTACATAATAAATGAGAAATTGCGTACCTTGCTCTTCTCGAACCAGGACACCACTTACCACGATTTCCAATACTTCCACGTATAAGTAAAGTTTCTCATCTACCTTTGGAGTGTGAGGAAGTGGTGGGCTCGATAGGTATCACTTTAATTCCCCTAATGCCTGTTGGCATTACAGAGTCCAGGCGAAATCGTTCTTCTTTTTGAGAAGAGAGAAAAATCCGTGACTTCGATCCGACGACCTTGAGATGAATCGGCCTAAAGCAGATATCCGTCCAGTTAGCCTCTGCATAGCTTTTACACTGTCCACGATGGTGATGTCTTCGATGGCCTTGATTTTATCGGGGTTGATCTCGATTCCTTGATTTGATACCATGAAGCCCAGGAATTTGCTAGAACCGACCCCGAAAGCACATTTCTCGGGGTTGAGCTTCATGTTATATTTCTTCAAAATCTCGAACGTTTCCTGCAAATGAGCCAAATGGTCCTCTGCGCGCAGGGACTTAACTAATATGTCAGCAATATAAACTTCCATTGACTTACCTATTTGTTCTTTGAACATTTTATTTACTAGGCGTTGGTAAGTAGCTCCAACATTTTTTAGCCCGAAGGGCATTACATTATAACAATATGTTCCATACTTGGTGATAAATGAAGTCTTTTCCTGGTCTTCTGGGTTTATTTAAATTTAATTATACCCGGAATATGCATCGAGAAAGGTAAGGAACTCGTTGCCGGCCGTGGCGTTGATCATGCGATCGATGTTAGGCAGTAGAAAAGAATTGTTGGGACATGCCTTGTTTAAATCTTTATAATCTACACACATTCTAAGTTTGTTCCCTTTTTTAGGGACCACGACTACATTGGCTAACCATTCAGGATATTTCACCTCCCGAATGGACCCTATTTTGAGAAGTTTAGTTACCTCGTCCTTTATGAATGCGTGCTTTACCTTGGACTGGGTCCTTCTTTTTTGTTTCACCGATTTGAACCCAGGGTCAAGGCTTAGACGATGCGATGTTATCTCCGGTGGGATCCCTGTCATGTCTAAATGGGACCAAGCAAAATAATATATGTTATCAATAAGAAATTGAATAAGCTTTTTCCTGAGTTCGGGGGTTAATCCCGTTCCCAGGTATACCTTTCGATCGGATAGGTACTCGATCAATATAACCTGTTCCAGCTCTTCGACCGTTGATTTGGTGGCGTCAGAATCTTTGATCCTTCCGATTGCCGATACAATGCCCGATGCGTCGATGCTAAAGTTATAGTCCGATAACCGAGGTGCCTCTGTGGGATTGGCATGCTTATCAAAGCCACTTTTGCTCATAAGTCCCCGAGAATTCTGTCCTCGATCACTTCTTCGATCCTCCCGAGCGGAATTGCCTCCTGAATTGTTCCTTCGATCTGCGGTATATGGTTGATATCATTCTCTTTTTGACCTTGGATCCCTGTTGACGTCCCTCTGGGTTTTAACTGCCAACCTGTTTGGATGTACTGAACTGGAGGGGGCTCCTAATTAGTCGTCCTCGACCCTAATCTTCGATTGATATCGATTGTGCACATCTGCCCAAGTTACATCTAGATATTCGACCAAATTTTGTTTCAACTGACGTGATGCTATCGAACTCCGCTCGTTCAACCTTGGGTGAAAGCTTGAACGGCCCAATCATCTGTGACCGGTGGCAACTCCATGCATTCCATTTGAAATCGGGATACGAACTCCCTCAGCATTTCGTTATCCTTTTGTCTTATCTTGAGAAGGTCTGATTTTCTTGTTGCGACCTTTATGGCCCCGGCGTGTGCCTTTACGAAAGAATCTGCTAACATGGCAAATGAGTTGATGGAATTTGGTGGCAGGTTGTGATACCAAATCATTGCTCCCTTTGATAAAGTTTCCCCAAATATTTTCAACAAAACGGACTCAATCTCATCATCTTCTAAGTCATTTCCCTTTATTCCGCACGTGTACGAAGTGATGTGTTCATTAGGATAGGTGGTCCCGTTGTACTTAGGTATGTCCGGCATACGAAAGTTCTTAGGAATGGGCTTCGGAGCCGAACTTTGAGGAAAAGGCTTTTGCACGAACTTTTTCGAATCCAAACCTTTTAGGATCGGGGGTGCCCCCGGTATCTGATCAACTCGGGAGTTGTATGTTTCCACTTTTAATCATTATCTTCGATTTTCTTCTCTCCTGACTCAATTCTTTTGGTGAGCTCCTCGAGCATTTTTATTATTGCAGGATCAGTCCCTGACTCGTTACCATTCGGCCTTTCTGGCACTGGCTCGGTACGATGAGTAATTTCTGGCTCGACCCCACTTGGAGTCCTATGTTGATTTTGCAACTGAGCAATAGCGTCATGCTGAGCCTGTAGCATCTCGAATATCACCTGGAGACTAGCTCCCCCGTCTCCTTTACCCTGTGTACCTTGACCACCAGATCGGCCTTCCTTGCGCACACTCCCTTCGGGGTCCGCGCCTAGGTTCGCATTTAGAGCAACGTGCGAACTGACATCGACTGGATCGGCAACCGGTGCTCCCCCGAGATTAGTCGTTGGCACCCCGACTCCTGGAGCAATTACAGTGTCGTTTTCCCCGTGAAATCCGATACCATCATCACCATGTATGGGTGCGTTTTGTGAGTTTGACATGTTTTAACTTGAGAGCAAGAAATGCTTGACAAGATTAAGCGTGAAATAACGTGTGTTATCAGAATCAGTACTGAACAATCACTATTATCCTTACCCCCACGGTGGGCGCCAAACTGTTTACCTTAAAATTCGAGTAACAATTAAACTTATATTGTGGCTTTAAGGATATGTGATTCAATCCAATACCAATTGATAAACGAGGAACTAAATAGATAAATTAGAGAATAAAATAAATCAAACCAGTATGCAAGCCAAATCTCGACCTTGACCTGTGGTAGTCTCGAGGTGTGATAATAGGAATAGCAAATGATAAGCAACTCTAATGAACAGTAAGCGAAACAACAAGAAAGTAATGAACATATATTTTCTTATCAGCCAACAATGTATCTTTACAAATGATGGGGATCCCTCTTTATATAATAGGGGAGTTCTAAATAATGTACACTTCTAATTATAGTAGGAAATTATATTAACATCTAATTAACCGTTGTTCGCTGTAGACCGATTCGTTCCGAGATTCACGCCACGCTCTTCGGTCCATTGCATTTTTCATAAGCGGTTCACTCTTTTTAGCAATAGGCCTGTAACAGTCAAAAAACAAATTGTGGAGCCAAGAGAGTTCGAACCCAAGACCTCTCACATCAAATTTGAAGCTGTCAACCACTAGACTATTGAGCTATTTTGATGCAAGTGGTGTCACTTTTAATGATTTTATCTTGTATTTCTGTTTTACTTATTATTTTTATATACATATATAATATAATTTTTCGACGAAGCGGTGTCCCGTGACAGCGCTTGGGTCCATGGAAAGAAATCGATCCCGGACTCGACGTCCTGGCCTTTCGACGTGGTATCTTTTTCTCCGTCGAAAGATGAAATCGGGTAGCCCCGATTTCCACATCTATATATGGAGATGGCTGAAATTTGCTATTTGATCACAACATTTAATGTACTACGTACCATTGACTATGAAGCAGGAAACCTGCAAAATCTTAGGAAATTAAATATGGCTTGATTCTTACTTAATGTTTTTCCCATAAATACCCGCACGCTTTGATTTCATACCTTTCTCAATATGGTCTTCAATTGGAAAACACAGCTATATAAATTGCTTATCACAGCACAACTTATGAAGCAAAAACACTAATTTGACCATACAAAATGGCAGTCTCATATAACTCTGCTATACTTCTTCTAGTTTCTCTACTATCAATCTCCTTCACGTTAACAATCGTGAAAGCCGATCTGATAGGCGAAGTTTGCTCCAAAGCACAAAACCCCGCTCTATGTTTATCGGCTTTAAATGCGGACCCTCGATCCAAAGGTGCAAATCTGGAAGGTTTAGCGACTATTTCAATAGATATATCACAAAAGAATGCACAGACCGTGCGTGATCTTGTTAATACGTTGCTTAAACAGGCGACGGATCCAAAATTAAAGACGCGATACGATTCGTGTTTAGAGAATTATAATGACACTGTTGATGATCTTGGAGAATTGCCAGGGTTTTTGAAGTCCAAAGACTATCTCGGTTTGAATGTTCATGCTTCCGCTGCTTTTGATGGTCCTACTACGTGCGATGACAATTTTTCAGAAACACCACCCGCTGAATCGCCACAACTCAAAGATGCAAGTGACAAACTTCAAGGACTTATCGATATTATTTTGGTTATTAGCAATCTATTGAAAGGGTAATTGATATGTAGCAATTTATGTTTTATGCTAGGTATTGTGATCGACTTGAAATATATATATATATATATATATATATATATATATATATATATATATATATATGAAAGTTATTACGTAATTAGTCATAAAACCATAGGTATGTTTCTCTTTACGAGTTTAGTCCAAGCACTCACATTTGTTTTAATAACAACTAGACGTCTTATATATGTCTTATTTTTAGTCAAACATTTTAAAATTGTATCTTACTCATTTTTCTTTTCTTTTTCTACTTTTTTTTGGTGGGGGGCAAGGGGGCGGGGTATATAAACACCGAGACTAGATAATTCAAAACCTTCAAAATGTTATGGTGTTTTTATTAATGAATGTAGCATTAAAATTTCGCCATGTTAGTTTACTAAAGAAATATATCGGCCTTTACCAAAAATGAAAACAATAAATTGAAGAAACCAAATAAAACAGCTACACGACGTTGAATCCTTACAATACCTTTAACAGAAGAACCAAAAGATTGAAAAAAGAAGCTCGCTTAAAATCTTTGGAGTGAAAACCATCAGTTTATGGTCAGATGATATATGCTATTCTTTTCCTTTTAAATATTGTGATTTCTGTCATATCTTAAATTAAGATTAGTAAAATCGGATCCAACTCCCCTCCATTTCTTAATTTCTCCATTTCTCCAAGTTCCTACTTGGATTGGAGACACTTGGCATGGTTAAAAATCAATGGATGAGATTAATTGAATAAAATAAAGGCCTAACATTAGTTAAAATATTTAATTCCTTCTTTTATTCATTCTCAAATAATATCTTTTGCAATCCCATAATTATAGCTACACATTATCTAGGATTCCTTCTCTCTTTCTTGTAATAATTTTTTTTTTCTTCTGTGAATTAATTTTTTTTCAATTCTACAAAATCTTCCATTCTCATTAAAATTAAAAAAAATACTAAAAGTAAGTTCCGATGTTAACGAGCTATGTGGGTTTCCTAAAATCTTGGTACATTTTGATTGTGTGAAGAACATGTTTGGCTCCTGAATGAAAATCTTGATCAAAAGAAAAAAAATTATGATACTTTTCGGTTTACTTCTTTGGCAATGCTGATGCTTTTACACGGCTAAAGTTGAAGAAAGTTTGAACTAAAATTGGTGCAAGATTGGAGCTTACTTCTTTTATTGTATCGTTCTTTAATTATTATCAAAGTTGGAACTTACTTCTAATACTTCTTATTTTTAATAAGAATGGAAGATTTTGTAGAACTGAAAAAAAAAAATTAACTCACAGAAAGAAAATCACTACAAGAAAGAGAGAAGGAATCTTAGATAATGTTAGCTTTAATTCCATGCTTATCCTAATGGTTGCAAAATATGAACATAAAAAATACAGCTACTATCGGTTGGAGAATTAATAGGCCCCGTTTGGCCAAGAGTTTTCCCAAAATAAATTTGGGATTTATTATCAAAACTCATGTTTGGCCATAAATTTTGCTCATATTTTGGCCAAATCCCAAATCCCAAATTTCAAATCCCAAAATTAGCTATTGAGCTGATTTTGGGCCAAAATCCCAAAACTTGGGAATTATATACTGTCACGACCCGAATTTTCCACCATCGGGAGTCGTGATGGCGCCTACTCGTAGTAGCCTGCCAACCCCAAGAAACTCCGAATCTCTGTAGCTGATGCTGGTCTAGGCCAGTTCTTGACTGCCTCAATCTTCTTCGGGTCCACCTGAATACCTTCTGCTGATAAAACGTGACCCAGGAATGCAACTGAGCTCAGCCAGAACTCACACTTGGAGAACTTGGCATATAACTGACTATCCCTCAGAGTCTGAAGAACCACTCTAAGGTGCTGCTCGTGCTCCTCCTGGCTACGGGAGTACACCAAAATATTGTCGATAAAGACTATCACGAACATGTCCAAATATGGCCTGAACACTCGGTTCATCAACTCCATAAATGCTGCTGGGGCATTGGTCAACCCAAATGACATGACCAAGAACTCATAATGCCCATACCGAGTACGGAAAGCTGTCTTAGGGACATCGGATGCTCTAATCCTCAACTGATGGTAGCCAGATCGCAAGTCAATCTTGGAGAATACCCTGGCACCCTGAAGCTTGTCGAACAAATTATCAATCCTCGCAGTGGGTACTTATTCTTGACCGTTACCTTGTTCAATTGCCGGTAGTCAATACACATCCTCATTGACCCATCCTTCTTCTTGACAAATAACACCGGTGCACCCCAAGGAGACACACTAGGTCTAATGAAACCCTTCTCCAGCAAATCCTGCAACTGTTCTTTTAACTCCTTCAACTCCGGCGGGGCATTCTGTACGGCGGAATAGAAATGGGCTGAGTGCCCGGAACTAAGTTAATACAGAAATCTATATCCCTGTCGGGTGGCATACCCGACAGGTCTGAAGGAAAGATATCGGGAAACTCCCGGACAATAGGCACTGAATCTATAGGAGGAACCTCAGCACTGGAATCACGAACATAGGCCAAATAGGCCAAACACCCCTTCTCGACCATACGTCGAGCCTTCACGTACGAAATGACGCTGCGGGTAGAATAACATGGAGTACCTCTCCACTCTAAACGAGGCATACCCGACAACGCTAAGGTCATAGTCTTGGCATGGCAGTCCAAGATAGCGTGATAGGGCGATAGCCAATCCATACCCAATATGATATCGAAGTCAACCATATCTAAGAGCAACAAGTCTACACGGGTCTCAAGACCCTCAATCACTACAACACACAAACGATGGACTCGTTCGACCACGATAGAGTCACCCACCGGTGTAGACACATATATAGGAATGTTGGCATCCAATTTCGTCCCTCCTTTCTTTCAAACTATCTCTTTGAGCTTCTAATACTATCAATAGTGTTAGGGTACTATACCATTACTTTTAGCAAAATAAGACTAATTTATTATTATTATTATTATTATTTGTCATTTCTACGAAGATTTTAGTAACTATACTCTTTAAAAATATTGTAGCAATTTATTTAGCAGTTCGTATAATAGTTATTTTTCAATATCTCATAATTATTTATTCAAATGAGAGAAAATATAATTTTTTTTATAATACATTAATAATTTTATTACCTACTTAATATATATAAATTCTAATATTAAATAACATTATATATATGGTTATTAAAATATTTAATCCATAATTTGAGGTCTAAAGAAAGCAAGGAAGAAAGGATTTTAAACCTCAAAACTATGTCCAAAAGCCTTTGAATTTCGGCCATCCATTACAAAATCAGAACCTAGCCCAAAAAAATGAAAATAACATCAGCCCAATACCCCTTTAAAGTATTTCACCCCTAATTTTTAACCCTAGTAAAAATACAGCAGTACCTCTGTCTCTTCCCTTGTCATCTTCTGCATTTCTAGAACACTTCCAAGCTCCTCTAATCTCCACGCCAGACATTGCTGCCTCCATTTTCACGCAAGCTTCATCTCTCTTTTCTAGATTATCAGACGCTCTCCTCTCTCTTCTTTTTCTTTCATCATTCAAGTGAGTACAGAGACCCATGACAGAGGATTCCGACTATTTTGAGCTATCCACGTTTCTTTTCAATCACAGGTCTATTTTCTTCTCTGATTCAACGGTTGTATTTTGAAATCAAACCACTACACGTGACTCTTGACCAATTTTGAGATCTACCCGCCAAAATGAAACTCTAGGGTTTCAATTTCACCTATAAATACTCGCATACCAGACCTCTTTGAGGGTAGGATTCTGGGTTGCCTCAAATCTTAACACTATTGCTCTTTTGCTTTTACTCCCAAAAAGAACTCTCGCTTATTTTAGTCTCCGTTAGTTTTTGCGCAATAATAAAAGAGGCGATATTCTGTCTTTTCGGAATTTGGTGGGCGTTTGAGGTAATCGGAGATAGTAGACCTGCTCGACGACGCCCCATTCACTGCTCACAAAAAGGTCAGCGACTCTCAGATCCTAGCTTGCTCATTTCATATTCGAAATAAGTGTTTATTTGTCTGTTAAATCCCCTATACAGAAATCATGCTTTAAAAATCTCCTATATAGAAATCAATCTTGAAGAGTTCTTTGGGTATAAAAACAGCAAAGGATTATGTGATTGTCTATGTGCTAATCGAATAAATTTGATGTCGATCAAATACTCATATGAATAGATTAATATGTTAGTTGTCCTTTCTTCTGCTGTCTACTTTAAATACTATAATATGCTATTTCTTACTTCAAAATGATAAGTCTAGAATATCACTTCTCTGTCTAGCATGTATAAAGTTAATTTCTTTATTCGTTCTCTGAGTTAATACAATGGTTTCTGAACTAGTCTCTTATTTAGAACATGACATGGGCTAGAGTTACTGTTCCTTTGGTCTAAATATTTCAGAAGGCACAAGAAATTATTTATCTATGTTGGGATTGTTATTGTTAACAGGAGTTTTAACCTTTTAACAAAAAATCATGTGTTGTAGTAACTAGGATCATATATTGGAGTACGTTTGATCAGATAACTTGTTCATAAGATTTATTGCTTTGAAGTGAAGATTTAAAACGTGAATTCCCTTTAGTATATAAAAATCAGATTTTTATAATAAAACATGGGTTTCTGTTAAAAGCCATGATCTGGATACCATGACTATGGGAATGGCGCAACCAGTCTTATGTAACTAGGAATCATGATAAAGTGAGGTTAAAATCCAGAGATTATATGTTAGGTTTCTTTCTCATTTTGAAGAATATAAATAATTTAGTGCTATATATATGAAGTAGGAACTTCCTGTTGTGTGCTGTGCTAAGCTTTTCCCTCCTTGGGACTTGCATGCCAATATATATACTGTTGAAAAAGCATTGTATAATAACTAAGTTCTTATTAAGTTATTAGCTATCATACCAATGGCTGGAACTTTTACTTTAGTTAGAGTAATATGAAAGGGAAATACTATTTACTTCCATTTAGATATCATGTTATAAGGCCTGTTATCTCCTAGGCTAAACTTAAGAGATCTGTGATCCTTCTTTAGTAAGTTAGA